TTGCTGCCACAACATTAGCGTGATTCAGTGATTCAGCAGCATGCTGCACACTACACGAACATGCAGCCAAACGTGAAGACCTCTGCCACCCCGTGTCATGCCATATTAACTAACTGCTTTGCTAAAATACATAGTTTTTTCAAACACTTCGGAGACGTCCCCTGCGGGCAGCTTCTACGTAAGGTCACATATGCAGCCTGCCAGATCAGCTGTATGCATATGTATGCATATTTTTTTGGCCCACCTGCAGTGTCTTCACTGCAGACCCTGTAAAAAGCAATGTTGCCAAATAAATCTGAACTGTGTACAGAATGCTATGCTGGACTGTCCACCCACAACCTTTCTGTGTGATGGAAATGTCAGACAAAGACCATGCTTGTCTGCTGAGCAATACAGACCATTTTTAAAAGTATTTGGACATTATTAAATACAAATTTAAAATTTTGTAAAATGTCATCACATTAGATAAATTATCAAAGTGACTAGCATTTATTTAAAAGAATTGTAGCCTTTCAAACAAAAGATTTCACCAAAAATAAAGATAAAAAAGTATTTTAACTAGGGATTCACAGATATAAAAATTCTAAAATTAAAATTCAGAAATTGTCCATTATGCCCATTCTTTTCATGTTACAGTATTGCCGGTAACATTATATTTTTGTTACCATGATGTTTATTTTTTTAATAAAATGTAATCAAACCCAAATATACAAAACTAATAATAAAAAACAAGATAAAAAAAAAGAACACAGGGAATTCTAGGAATGTCAATTTACAGTTTTTCACTGAAAAATTATAAGGATTTGATATTTTACTTCCAAATGCTGTCATTTTAACTGTATTTTACTGTAAAACTACTTTAAATGTCCCATTCGATTTATTATTTTTACCATATGTAGTAAGTGAACTTATTGTTAACCAATTAAAAGGTTTTTAACACAGCATTTTATAGTTTTTACTGTTAAAATTATGATCTTTTTTACACTTTACAGTATTAAATGGGAGTGAATTATTACTATTATCAAAAGCTTGATGAAAGAAACATTAAAAGAAAATTGGTGTAGAAACAATTTTCACTCAGAATTTAATAGTAAGTTTGACATGTAAAGAGAATTAAATGTGATAACATGTTTTTTTTAGAGTGCATTACAATTAGGTACATTAAAAAATATACAAAAAATTATTTTTCATATTTTAAAAACACACTGTAGTCCCAAATCTGCATCTGCTCTGGCCATTCATTTTAATTTAAAGGTTTTAATAGAACACAATTATACCACTGTGTCATACCCAATTTATTGTAATATTAAACCCGACTCATCATTTTTGGATAGAAATATAACTTTTGGAACTTACAGCAACTGCCTATGAAAGACGGCAAAGGAGGTGTATAGGTGAGGATGTTGATCTATTATGAGCCGAACATGAGCCTGGCCTTCAGTACATGTGCAGTTTTCAAGAGGTCAGGAAACAACATTGTGAAACTAGCCGGATAATTCTAAGAAATTGTTCCAAGTAGTTTTTTGAATGTTCTCATGTTTAAAAGGCTTCACTGATGCTATTTATGTACATATATGGACTATCCTGAGAGTCAACAGTATACTTCAAAGTGCATTTGTCCATCTTTTTGTGTGTTAATGGGTGGAAATATTACTCTGGCATTTAGCAACTCAATGTATGATTCATAATGACTTTTTTAAAGTACTTTCTTTGTGATTGAATTGTGACTGAAGTTCCCATTTAGACTTCTGCAGAGTATGAAAGTTTGTCGTATTAAATGCTTCATAATTATCATTAGGTCATTGGTAAAGCATATGATGACATTGACTTTGCACATATTTCACTTCAAATAGACATATTTGAAATATATCAAATATTACATTCACTTCAAATAGACATCAAGCAATGATGTTCACGTTTTCAAGAGAAGGGTCCACATGTACTGTCTCGAAGAAGTTTACCAAAAAAAAAAAAAATTGGACATGGACATGCAGTTGCTGTCCATGGTGCTGGATCCTCTTAGCCTTCTGTGTCCCAAACTAAACTGAACACACAAGTAATGCTAAAAGGGAATTTCTGTTTGGAAGTTAAACAATTTGCTTAATAACCAAATATTTTCTTTTCATTTCTGTTTTTGTGATGTTTTTTTTTTTTTTAAACAAATGTACAACTTTTAGTGCTTTTACATAATCAAATGCTAAAACATTCATACTTACAGGATTAATCATTAACTAATGATGAAAAGGGACTGAGAGAGACAGACAATATGTGGAATGGAACTTGAATAGACGAGCGTGGAGCCCCGCCGGGTGTTTGGGTCTGATTTTACAGCCACGTTGTGTTGTGTGTGAACAGAGACTGACTCATTACTTCTGCTTAACCTCACGTGGAGACAAAATACCTGAAATATACACTGCTTTGACCCCAATAACTTACACAAAACCCAAAAACTGTGGGTTGGACCTACAAAAGACTGGGTAGGACTTTCCAGCATAAAAAAAAAACACAGATCTTGTATGAAGTTATCATCAACCTAATTAAGAGATTTTTAACAAGATTTTTTTTCTCTCCCAGGCAAAAATCATGTTTTGTGGATCAATTAATTAAACACATTAATGATGGCAGAGCTAATTTCTTTCATAATGTTCTTGAACAGCAAAGTTTTTTTTTTTTTTTTTAAAGAAACTAATATTTTTATTCAGCAAGGATGCATTAGGTCTAAAGTGATAGTAAAGACATTTATAATGTTACAAAAGGTTTCTAGTTCAAATAAATGCTGTTCTTTTGAACTTAAATCTACCCCTTCCTGCAAAAATATTAATCAACACTGATAATAATAATAAATGATTAAATCAGCATATTAAATTGATTTCTGAAGGATCACTGAAGATTGGAGCAATGACGGCTGAAAATTCAGCTTTGCCATCACAGCAATAAATTACATTTTAAAATATATTAATGTAGAATATTTCACAATATTATTTTTATTTTTTACTGTATTTTGGATAAAATTAATGAGACTTCTTTTAAAAACATGAAAAATGCTTGCCAACCCCAAACTTTTGAATGGAAGTGTAAATACTTTAGCAACAAAAGAAAACTATTTTTAGTTGTAGATAGAGTTTTATCTAGTCACCTGATCTTTATCGCTTCTGTCAGCATGTTTCACGCATATCATCATATAAAGTGGCATTCTGTCCGCATACTATTTTCATCCCTGAACATTTGAGAGAACAACTCACTGTTTTATGACAGTTTGTAAGATTTGGTATCTAATAATAGTCCCCCTGTCTGTGTTTGACCCATATCCAGCTGTCTGACGTCATAGTTCCATCCAGTTTAACGTCGACTTGTCATAGCCACACATATCATGTCTTGAGGGTCGGGTGGCGTATGATGGTCGTCACAGTGGTACTGGACATCCAGCCACACTAACACAAATGTCTGAGGTCAAGTGTCTCTTATCGAGCACATGCAGCAAAACATGCTGAATTCAAACACAAAAGGATAAAGGAAAAAAAAGCAAGATCACATTTGCCCCTTCAAACATCAAATTCCAACGGCTGTTGGCTTTTGTCAGATCAGTGTGTTCACCCCAAGTGCACTGGGCCTTAAAAAACAGAAACGGTGTTCACTGTGACTCAAAAAAAATTTATATTTTCACTCTCTTCCTATTCATACCTCATTAACATTTGTGGTCAGCATATACATAGTTAATATAGGAAAAATACATAATAATCTAATCTAATCTAATATAATATAATATAATATAATATAATATAATATAATATAATATAATATAATAT